TATAGATGAATCACAAGCCAAATAAGCAAGAAAAGAACACTCAGTACTCAAAGCAGTGCTGGATTAAGTCAAAAAACTAAAAAGCATGTCAACCCATTGCAGCAAAGATTCTTTCCTGCCTTTGTAACCCACAAACTGGCATGCACACTTACACGTGTGCAGGCATATAAAAAATTAAACAAAAAAGAATGCTCGCATATTGAATTGAATACAAATTTAACTAGCATCCAAACAAAGTCAATGTGCATTAGAAAATAACGAGCCTATATACATGCAACACTTCAGCATCAAGACCTGACAGAGCAGGTTTTCTTGTTCTTGTCCTGTTGCCAAGATTCGTTATCATATTGCAATGGACCAAATAATCAGTTTCATACTTGGTACATCTTTTACTCATTTCGTTGATGGGAGGTTGGATGACTGGCTAATTTCTTAGGCATCCCCCAACAATGAGACTGGTTGATCGCCTTACTAGGATGGAAGTTTCTAAAAATCTGTCTCGACCCAGTAATCTTTTACAACACCACATCAGCAACTTGAATAACTATCTAAAGGAGATTTTCCCTCCAAGTGATTTTTGCTTAAATGAAGCAAGGAAGAACTGACCTAGGCACTTTCCAACCTTATTGGAGCTCAGTAAATCAAACAGAACATTATCTCCAAACTTAGACTAAACGAAGTATATACCAAGATAGACTGAGCAGTGAGGAGGCAGCAAAACTACACAGTTGCAGCAAATAATTGGGAAGTATTTGCTAGACAATTGAGTGGATACCAACAAACAAGGGGTAATTGAGCAAGCACAGACAAGTCACACAACACCTTTGGAAGTAAAGGATAAAAAAGAAACACTCTGTCAGATCATGCCTGACATCAATAACACTCATGATAAGAAGTACCCCAAAACCCAACTATGTGAACGCATGCATGTCTGAAAGGAAATATACTCTATCCATTTACAAGTTTATAATATTTATAGGCTAGCATACTATCATACCGAACTAGATTTTTTTCAAAGCAAAAGCTTGAAAAGTTCCAAAAACCATGACTTAGTAACAGCATGTACCTGCTGCTCTGCAACGCTGTTATTGAAGCTACCAGCATCATTTGCTGCAAAATTAATGCAAGTCCAAAATTAGGCAATGGTTCAACAAGACTGGGCATATCCATATCCATCTATAAGATACACAAAAGGTGATCGAACTACATACTATAATTGAATAGCTACTGACAGTGTCATACCTTAAAGAAAATTGAGAGAGAGAGAAAGAGCTGGTAGCTTCTTCCATTTTTTCTTTTTTGGTTTATTTTTGGGGAAGGGAGGTGGATTCAGGAAGGAACTCATAAGAAAATGCAATCTTGATTAACACAAGAATAGTTCTGGAAGACGGAATGAAATCAAGAACATAGAAGCCTAACTTGTTAGGTACACATTTGACGAGAAAGTAGTTGAATATACTCAGTATCTAGTTAGGCTCATCTCTTTTATGACTAGTGTAAAATATTTTTCAAATATAAAGAAAAGGACAAATATATACCAGTTACTTCAACAGTTAATTAAAAACAGAGATCGTATATGCACGAGGTAGTTTCAACATTGCGTTTGGAACACCAATAATGGCATTGACAGTTCACTAACGAACCCCAATGGTGAAGTGAAATTCCAAATCCACTAGGTGTCTATTGGTTGCTGATAACATTGATCCAAATTATGAGGGACCAGTGTTCTAATTCAGATCAACCTAGACAACAGGAATTATGCTAAATTACTGGTCCAACAGGCTTTTCCTATTTTTCAGAAGTTTTGGATTTTTGTTCCTCTTCTGTAACCAACCATGACAGGCATATAGCGTGCAGGAGCCATGATGAACATCCTGACCATCTCCAATTCACTCCTTTCGTCAATCCTTGAGAATTTTAAGATCAAAGTCTAGCTCACTGCTCGAAACATACAGCATTCTTCCGAACATATAGAATTCCAACTGGATTCCCAAGTTTGACTAATCCATCATCTAATTTCTCAGATTTATCCGAGGAGAGGCATCCATGAGATTCCAACCAAAACTCCCCTAATTGCCAATCAGCTGAGCAGCCAATTTTTCACCTCTCAACCAGCAATTTTTTATATTTGAAACCAAATTATTCTCCAATTCAAACCAGAACAATGTGATAGGAGCTTAATCAAAATTCCAAACCCTAGGTCAAATCATTCGCTAAAATGCGCAATAGGAAACAAAAATCGATACAAAAAAAAAACAGACTATTAAATACGTAAACAAAATAATTACAAAATAAAAAAAAATAAATCCACTCAGATCTGGGATAAGTTACCTTCATTCTGATCTTCACTTTCAGTGAACTCTTTCTCGAGTGCTCGATCGATCATGTCGGCAAAACTATCTTCCTTAGCCTGATTCCTAGTGCCATTGGTACTATCACTACTATTAACACTATTCTCAATCGTCGCATTCAACTCAACAGAGACATTCCCATTACCAACATCGAAGCTCGCCGCCGACGAGAGCGGCGAAGCAATTAGTACACCCAGAGCAAACAAAATCAAGAGCGAAGACAAAACCGCCAGAACCGACACCTCGGAGGAGAAGAAGAAGGAGAATGCGGATGACAAGGATGACGCAGACGACGCAGATGCGGATCTTCTCCTCCTTCTAATAGTCATTTGGATTTTGCGACCGCGACGGCCACGGCCACGGCGCCGGCGTAGGCTACGCTGGCCCCCCCCTGCGCAGGTTAGCAAGATCTGTGCACGAAATAGAAATTGACGGAAACGGGAGCAGTATCAACCTATAGTAGAGCACAGGTAACTGCCGGAAAATGCCAAAACGGTGTCGGTCTGTCGCTGTCCAGGTTTCCGTGTCGTAATACTTAAATTGGTAAATGTGGAAAAAAAACACGCGACGTAGAGTACGAATATTGGTGAATCTTTTCGGGTGGTGACGGGCGAGTGGCACTCTATCTCTGTTACTGTCCTGTGCGCAACCTCTTGCTCCACTCCCAAATTTTAGAGAGAGAGAGAGAGAGTAACCAGTTGACTGGAGTTATGCATTAAATATTCACATTTCTATCAGCGTTATACATTTGATTATTTATTAACCTTTTATCATTTCTTTTTTGTAAATTTTTCTACTGAATGCTCAATATGCACTTACTTATTCACACACCTAAATTTCACCGAAAATATATATAGACACGCACACATATGCTAATAAATATTATTTTTCATTGCATTTATATAATTTTTTTCAATTAATTTTATCTTTTGAAAAAAAAATTTACCTTGTCTAAGAAGCGTCCATAAGACAGAATTCAAGTGTATTTTGATCAAGTTACAGTTAAATAGAAAGTGTAGTACATATAAATGCAGGAAAATATAATAATTATTAATGTATGTAGTTATATAGTAGTAGGTTCAGGGTGAGTACTAATGAGTGCCTAAAAAACTTTTTCTTTTGAAAGCATAATTAGTTACTTTTTTCTTTAAACAAACTTACATAGAATCATAGATAGTGATTTCGTAAGTATAAATTATACATAAACTAACATTTATTAATTTTATTACTTTATTGAATGAACACTTTTTGGATACTACAATTTTGCTAATCCAAAAAAAAAAAACACTGGCCCTCTTAATTTGTAGCCATTATTGCATCTCTTAAATAATCCCATAAATTATTTCTATTGGGATTTGTTAATTTAAGAGCTTAATAATTTACATTTGTTTGCGTGCAAAACAAATTACTGTGTGTGTATATAATATTATGACGATTGGAATTTGGGGGGGTAGGTTGTAAATAATTAGGATGGTTAGAGAGTGATTAGGAAGACAGAAGACGACACCAGGAAGGGATGTTTTGTTGGCGATGCGTCTCGGTCACGTGAGGTTCATGGTTCAAAGTCGCGGTCACGGTTGCGATCACGGCCTAGATCGTTCCACATCGGTCTCGGTATATTGGTCACGGTTTCGGTGAGACGCGAATTTGTAAAATATTTAATATTCTAAAAATTATAAAAAATATGATAAATAAAAATAATTAAAAATTAATAAAAATAATAAAAATTTAAGTTGATTCGGAATGACTTGATGTGATTCGGCCGTTTCAACCCTTCACGATGACGTTTCGGCCTGTCACGTATCTCGAAAACGTTTCATAACGGTCTCGTCTCGGCTCGGACTACGCCGAGACGGAGACGACTGTCTCGGCCGAGTCTTCGAACCATGGTGAGGTTATTAACAACTCTAGAGGACCATCGGATGGCTACTTTTTTGTAATTTTTTTCCTTTTTCTTTTTAAGTGTTTCGAAAGGGACTCCATATATGTTTATTTTGTTCGACCAGGAATTCAGGACGGATTGGACGGGAGACTCCGAGCAAATAATAAATACGAATGTGCAAATGTCAGGTAGGATGTATTTTCAGTGTTTAATATAATATTCGATTTATTTTTCAGACCAATATTAATCAAGTGATCCTACAATTTTTAGTTTCATTATCAAATTCTTCTCTTTATTACTCTTTCTTTTGTACCATCTAGAGTCTTCCTTCTAGAAAAAAAAAGAGGAGTATAATTTTGATTTCAATGCTATTATTTATACTTTCAAAGCACTAATGAGCACTACTTATTTTGATTATGAACTCAATACCACTATTATGCTCAAATGATGTACTATGTGAGTTTCTCCTCTAAATCCGTCATAATTACACAATTTCTTTATTTATTTTCCTTCTTGAATTAAAAAAAAAAACACACATTGACTTAAATTTGAAGGACGATGACTCTAATACTGAGAAATTTGAAAAAAAGGATTTTCACAACTATAGAAATCTTATGCAAATTCATTCTAAATGAACCAAAAATCAATCGTGGAGAATTAATCATAAGAAGATAATATATTTATATTTATATTAATATGTGGAGGAAAAATAAGGTCTAATCTAATGGATACATCCCATTAAAGAACTAGATGAATTATTTGTAAGGTTGCTCGTTTAATGGTCTGCAATCACCATTAACTCATTTTTCAACTACCACTCTAGTCTGGTCCTCTTCCTTTCTCAATTGTGGTTTGGTGGACCATTAAATATTGTGGAAGATTTGCCTAAATCGCTTCGCTAAGCATTCTGGCCATGCCTGCTGATGAACTCAGCTGTCGGAACATATTCATGAGATCACCACTCATGCCAGCGCCTGATGGCATCCGGCCTCTTGAAATCATTCGAGTCATATTATCCATTTTTCTTCTGGTGCACATGTTTGCGAGTTGCTTGTAATGCTCCAACATCTTCATAACATCTCCTACATGGCAACCAGAGCCTTGTGCTATGCGCCTGATCCGAGATTCCTTCATAATCTTTGGGTTTGAGCTGTTTAATTCTGTAATATCAAGATTGGATCAGATGAACGTAAAAAACTATAACCTTTCAATCATGAAGCCCAAATAAGCTTAAAAGAATGCAGTAAATTAAAAATTACTTGCCTTCACTCGTTAGTGAATCCATCATGATCAGATATTTCTTCATTTGTTCTGGTTTCACATTTTCCTGGACATTTGGCTGCAAATCCCGGACTTGACTTAACAATAAAGGACCCATCTGGACAGTAATAGAAGGGGTGATCTCAGATATTATGATACAACTACGAATGCAAGCAACCTGACGCTTCCATACCTTGTAATTGTGCTTTACAACAGCCTGATACTTTTTGAAGGTAAAGTTTTCTCCATCAGTAAACATTTGGCACAAGTCAGCCTGTTCATCCAGAGACACGGAGTCCCGAAATCTGTCCACTAGCTCAGCTGGATGATGCTTACCTGATTGTAATTGCGAAGAAAATAAGTGCAGAACTTGAAATGTTTATGGGATGAGAAACCAGAATGATCAAATATCTCAGTGGAAATATGCATTATTAAGTAATATAGATATAGTTACCTAGGAGACGACAAACAAAAGCCTTGGCATCGAAAGCTTCAAACTTATCCAGCTGCTCTCCGTTTCCTATGAATATGACAGGACATTTTGTTGCTGCCACACTGTAGCATAAGGTGAGATATCAAACAGGAATCCTTACAATGAATAAACTGAATGAAATGAATCACAGATATCAAAAGAAAGCCTAAGCAAGAGAAACGAAGAGTAGAAATTCAAATCCTTATAACCATGGTTCATTGTGGCGGGTCACCATCACGTCGCGGTTGCGGTTGTTTCACATCCGTCGCGACATATCGATTGGATATTAGGTGATACTCACATTATAACATATAAAAAATTTCAAAAAAATTTGAAAATTTTATTAAAAATAGAAAATACCAAAAAGGCACAATCTGAAAAAAAAAAAAAAAAATCCGAATCGACTCCGAATAGACTCGGATATTTTGGCCAATTCCATGCATCACAGATTCGAATCGATCAATATCAGTCGAGTCAAAGTGAATTACCGCGAATATGGAATTCTCTATGATTCGAGAATCGGTATCGTACCTGTCCCCTACGTTCCGGTTATAATTCGGCTGAGATGGCGAACCATGCTTATAATATTGGCAATAATATATTTAGATGCCTAGATCAGAATATTGATGTTTTTCTTATTAATTCATTTATTGGTTGGGATGAACAGAAGCTTGAACTTTTATAGCTTTGCATTATCGAAGGTGATGTCTGACATAAAAGATAAAGTCATGACTAAGTTTTCCTATCTGTTCATTAAGGAGATGATTAGTGGCAGCAGCACAGAGATCTTTTCCTTCTCAACTTTCCTTTTTTAACTCTTCCAGAATTTGGGGCTGGAAAAGCAGGGGAGTCTGAGCAAATAAGCGATAGAGGCCAAGCAAAAGAACATGCAGATAATCTATTGCAATATACGCCTAGGATATTTTTAACTTGTTTAAAGTTTTTAGGTATACTTTGCCCTCATGTATATACTTGCATACCATATATGCCGGATTCATGTGGTAATCCAATCATCATTGTCCATGAGAAACAGAAGTCTAAATTGCTCCTCTACTAGTGTAAACTACAAATGAAGCAATCCCTACACATGCACTTAACAGGAAAAAAAAAATGGCTATTAACCTTCAACAACAGCTCATCACATGCATCTAAATGAAGAGAAAGAATTGAGAAAAGGAAATGTAACTGAGATAACGTTAAGTTGAAGGAGCAGATAATGCAGCTCATAGATGAGGCAAAGAAACAATATAAGCAAGAAACATCTAACTTGGCTACCATACTTACGCACTGATAGCACCCCCTCCCTTAGCATGACCATCAAATTTAGTGACAATCACACCTCCAACAGAGACACTCTGTTTGAAAGCTCGAGCTTGATCAAATGCTGCTTGACCAATGCTACTATCAATCAGAAACACCACGAGATCTGGTTTCTGGAACGTTACCGGAAAAGGCTTTTAAAATTACAACTAAAGACATTTAAGCTTGCACTCAATTAGACTCGTAATGTTGAAGTTACCGTTGCCTCATACAGTTGACGCATCTCTTCAAGAAGTGCGACCTCTTGTTTGTGACGCCCACTTGTATCAATAATGATCAGATCACGGTTTTCATTCTTGAACCGTTTCAGTCCTTCCAAAGCAACTTCTGTAGGATCTGACTCTGTGGAACTGTTTAGGCAAAAAAGAAAAGGGTGATTATTGCAACTTACAAATTCCTATGAAATGAACTTCAAGATCAGCAATAGTCCACTGAAGGAATGAAACAAACATGATCAGAGTCCTTCTAAAAGCTGCACGAGGGAAAAAAGTCATAATCTAAATTGAAACTGCTGTGTAACTATTTACTATTTCAAGTTTTTTGATCAAAAAATGTCAGCAACTATATAGCTTGAAGAATTCATCACAATTGCTTTGCTGGTTGTAAGCCCCTCAAAGGATAATCAACTTTTTATTTTATGAAACTTCACAACAAATTTATTAAACTTTAACAAACTAGGGACGCATGATGACAAAATGTAAAACACTAGAATTCGTAATGCCATTTTAACCACGTTATATCCCAAGCATCTATTTGACTGCAAAATTATGCATTCAAAGTTTCAGTTACCTTCCATAATAGGGTATTTCTACTTTCACAGCATCTTGTTTTAACTGGTCAAGAGCACCATCTCTGAATGTATCAGCACAGATCAATGCTGGTTTCCATCCCTTCTTCTGATGATAATAGGCATATTTGGCACACGTGGTGGTCTTCCCAGTTCCTGAAATTTAAATCGTGAATGTTGAAAAAAACACAGATCCAACACTAATTATTTCACAGGTGTTACCCATACCATATAAACAGAGATATAGATACTATACTGAATTAGCAATATATTGAAGAGAACCATACCTTGTAAACCAACAAACATCACAACACTAGTTTCCCCCTTTCGCGGGGTAAAAGATGGTTTTCCCGGATTTAACATGTTGCAGAGCTCACTAAATATGCTCTGCACAAAATTGAAGAGATTGTCGCAGTCAAAGGCGAATTAGTGCAAGAAATAAGAAGCAAGCATGATATGCTCTTTGCCAGGAATTTAGGCAGATGTATAGAAAATTGTAGACCTTGAATCATAATTTTGCAGTAGAGAAAACTTGAGATAAGACCCTATCTGGCCTTTTCACAAAGGATGTACCAAAATAGAATCTTGCAAGTAGGATATTAAGAGTCCCTATTTATTGTTTTGATTTCAATCAGGGCCATACACACATTCCCCAGGTCAGTACTACTATTTACCAGGCAGTCTCATGATCATCTACCAAAGAGCAATAGAAAGTTGTAAGCTTGTAATCCCGAAAAAATAGAAATCAATCAACCAATAAACTGCTTATCTGTCTCAACCAATAACCTCCTATACAACCAGCTGCGAAATCAGGCAACAAAACATTCACCATACTTAATTTTGCTTCTACCTTCTAAATTTTCACATATTTCAAACTTGATGTGGGCATTAGCCAAGTCTAAATGCACTGCATGCAGTCAAAAAAATAACAAAAGCACGGAAAATTAAACCAAGAAAAAGAATACCTCTTCAAGAATTTTGCGCTTATTGATCCCTGATGGCAGATTGTTGAGATTGGCACTCTTCTTGACATTGTTCACCAATTCCTTAACTAAATGAAAGGGCACATCACCTCGAAGAAGTGCCCGGGTGATCTCATTGAGACATTCATTCACTACGCTCTCATCCACAACAGTAGCATTCTTCATATCCCGAATGGCTTGGGTAAGCCGGTCTTTTAACTCTACCAACATTATGATGATTGATGCCGCCTTCTTACTCTAACCAAATATATCTATCAAGAACTGCAAGATCAAAGAAAACTTCAGAAACTCGCATGCACATGCAGATGCACGTCAAGGTACAAAATTGTACAAGCCCACATGCACAAAATTAATACCAGCCCTCAAATTGAATTGGAAAATTGGGGAAGAGACAGAAAAAGAAAATTAGCATGTTAGCGGAGCCCTGGAAATCAAACAACGATTACAATACCTTTGCAGAGTTTTGGTGCAGATTAAGGGAAAAACTAACAATAATATTGGTTGGGGATACTAACGTAATTTTTCGTTTTTCATAAAAATAGCTTAAGATTAGAAGTAAGCCAGAGATGAACTTTGAGTATTATTATTGTTTGAAACGTCCCTCTTACTAGAAGATTCTAGAATGAACTTTAAATGCTTCTAAAGTCTATTGAAAACGTTACAAAAAAGGACCAAAATCTGAAATTTGTCGTAATGGTCCTTAATCCTTTAGACACATAAGTGAAATTGAAATTTGTTGTAATGATCCTTAATCCCTAGACACATAAGTGAAATCATTAAGATACTAAAGTTTGAAATCTAAAATTTAAATTTATTAAGCTACTAAATTGTCAAATAGTGAAACCATTTAAGCATATTTTGCATTAAATGATAAGTAAACAATATTTTAAATTAAGCGATGAGTGAACAACGTATCACTTATTTTTTGAATAAGTTTTGCCTAAATAATTTAGATCCATTTAATTTATTAAGATTTTCTATTTTTTGTTATCAAACACCACTGAACATATTAACATCTAAATTCATTAAATTTAAGTGATAAATTAGATTATCAAATATGTTCCATTAACAGTTAAATTCATTAAATTTAAGTGTTAAATTGAATTATCAAATATGGTCATAATCACACAATTTGTTTGTCCATTTGTACCGGACGATTTTCAGCTACATCATTAATAACATTAGTCTTGCATATCCTCTGAAAAAAAAAAAAAAAAAAAAGGCCATAGTCACAGCATGTCCTTACTACAGTGAAAGTTATTTTAAAATACAGCAATTAACAAGCATCCATGGTATATTTTCCACATTGCGTACCAATGATCTAAACGCAAAACATACCCCTATCGAGAATTTTTTTGAATTTTCAAGATAATTTAGAAGTAACCAATTTATATTTTCGTAATTGGAATTATAGCAACGTATTCTTGCCGAAGGCTCACGTTCCCCATGGTTTCTTGGTCATTAAGAGGAGGATTAAGTAGCTAACTCCCAATCCCAGAGAAAGGTTTCAGAACTCAACAGCGTAAAAAGATTCATGTGACACATATATTACATGGCTGATAGAACCATTTCAGCTCAGCATTTCATGGCTGACAGAAGAATCTGATACTCTTGTCTGAACGAGACTGGACCTTTGCAATGAATTCCAGGAGCAAGTTGCCAGTTCATTGAGTGCTCTGCACTGTTTAACCCGAATAACTTTCAGCCTTCATCTCTTGATCTTGCTTCCTTACAGCCACTCCAAAATAAAACAACAATTTCAGCAGTACAGCTTTGTATTAGACTTGTAGCCTGTCTACATATCACCACTTAGAGAGAGAGAGAGAGAGAGAGAGGAGATGATGACATCCATGGCGTTTTTCTAATTTCTCCTATATCTACAGACTATTCTTTTCGTTTTCCAGGAGTACTTGACTAGCATACCAAAGAAAAAATTGAGGAACCTATTTTGATTTCCAAGTAGTAAACATTTTGTTTTTTGTAATAGGAGCACAAAAAGGACTCTATGGCGGTTAAATTTTCCCTGGTGAACTCTGCAGATCTATGAAGGACTTCTTGGAGAGGTTGATAATTGAATCTGCAATCACTCTTGCACTGGATTTCATATAACCACCTAAAAATGCAATAAAGTTGCATAAGATAAATGCGTTGTGGACAGTAAAAAGAAAGGGGTCCTAAATCCTGTAGGGTAAGGTTCATAAGCAATTACCTGATGTAAGCATGACAAGAGGTATGCTCCTCTCACGAGCAAAACTAAACACCTTTTCATCCCTTGTGGCAATTCCCTCCGGGCTGATCTGCAAAGATATGCATTTGATAGTTAACATTCATGAAATCTTCATCGGCAGCGTTACGTTTGCTTTCTGTCTTCTTTTGCTTTGACACACACATGACAAAAGCAAAGCGAATTTGACAGTGTCCCAGTTAGATTTTAATAATTTCCCAGACAGATATATGACAACCAAAGAACCAAACCAAAAGAAATACCTTCAACCTGCCCAGAGGATCTCCGTCCAGAATATCAGTGCCAGCATTGTACACGATCAACTCAGGACTAAAATTCCGTGAAGCAACCTAGAAAGTACCAAATAAGGCACTATTTATATCAACAGATGAACAATTGACACAACTAATTTGATATCAAAACCATAAAACTTCAATGCAGATGGTAAAATTTACAATATGTAATAATGTAGCTGGAAATGCAATATATCAAGCCACCAAATTACAGCTGGACCAAGAACAACAATGTTGCTAGTCCAGAAGCAAGTCATCAATGAGCATTTTACTGAATGAGGGAAAAATAGAACATTACATGCAACTTATGGATGAAAACCCATGTTGCAGGGATGAACTCCCCCAACTTTTCCACCAAAATGTTACTGTATGTGAAAAGCGACTCATAAAGATTAACATCAAGGACGACAAGAAACAAATTCAAATCAGCCGGTGTGCCTAAATATGAAAATTCTTGAAGAAAATTCAAGCAAAGTTGGACATCAAGGTAAATGGCCTTGGCCTTCGTATCAACTTCAGCAAGAACTTGTCATCTCTCTCTCTCTCTCTCTCTGTAGTTGCACATAAAAGGCAACGTATGTGAACCAATTTGAAAGATGGAGGGAACAACAATTCATATAACCCCCCTTAGAAATGCTGCCACCAATAATGCTTGTTGGCAACACTTGTGAATGCGTTTAGCAGAACAGAACATCGATTTTCACTTTTGCAGAAGCATTCAGGAACTAACAAAATACATGATGCATATGTCAAACTACATGCAGCCATGCAGGTCATCTTTCTCAAGGAGAATTTCAGTGTCTGCTTTTCTTTTTCCACTAAAGACCTGAAAATGTAATATTGGAGTTCATATCTGTACTTAAAAGAAAAGGAAAAGAACTTGAGAAGATTTTCTACAACTCAATGGACGAAAAATACAAGATTGGAAATGACAGATTTATATACCTCAAGAGCTTCATCTAGTTTTGACAAGTAATCGCTTGTTAATGTCCCAGTCTGTTTAAAAAATGTAAAAGGATGTCATCCAACTTGAAAACTTGAAAGAATCCAAATCAACAAACCTCAGCCAATAAAATCTCATTCTGACCGGCACTTCAATTTGCTGATCAATATACCTCCTGGCTTCATAGTCCTAAACAACAATGAAGAGAAAATTAATGGCTCAGACAGAATGTCCATCATGACACAAGTATCTCTTTTGTGCTGTTCTGATATCACCACTTGGTGGATGTAAGTTTGAACAAAAATAATAGGAAAAGAAAAAAGGAATAGGTGAGAGGAAAATCCCAAACAAAATACCAATTGTATATAAACCAGCAAACGTGATTGCTATAAATACAAACGAGGTTCAGAAGATGACTTACAAAGGGATAAATATGAGGATTGTACATATCAAGAATATAAACTCTTCCTGCCAGTATGATAGAAGACCAATCAATATCATGAAAGCAAAACGAGGCCAGGAGATAGGTTCAAGGTCATACTGTCACTAGAAAAATCCAATTCATGCCCATTTCCTTGGTGTGCATCGAGATCAATAATCATCACCCTGTTGATTGTTACAATTAATGAGCAAGGGAAGCATCTGACCATGAAGAGCGTGCCCATTGCTAAATCCATAAAAAAAAGCATCTGATGTATGCATATTACCTTGAAATATTTAGACGGGCAAAGGCAAAATGTATGCAAAGAGAAATGTCTGCATAAGCACAAAATCCACCTCCTTTAGCAGCCGAACAATGATGGAACCCACCCCCAACGTTGATAGCCCATCCACGTTCTTTAGCAAGCTTTGCAGCCAATATAGTTCCTCCAACCTAGAGTTACATTTAGCATTAACTTTTAGAACCAAAGCAAGAAGAAAATGAAGCCACATAGTTAATCTCACCTGCTTGCGAAAAGGAGAAAGAACTTTCTGCTGCACAACACAATTGGGCAATACAGCAACAGGGGGGACCTAAATGCCATACATCAAATGATCAAGTGATCAGAACCTAAAGGGTTATCCATAAATTTGATTACCATAGCTATCATTTGCCAGAAAAGTACATTAGAAATCACATAACAAATAACGACAGCATGGCAAACCTCACCTCAACAATGATGGCAACATTTGAGCTACTCTTTAGGCTATTCAAGTATGATTCTGGATGCACCTATCACATATAATAGCTAGCTAAGAATATTTGAAGTCCTCCTGCAGCAGCAGCAAATTGAGATACAATCCTCCACGTAACAATCAAATTACCCAAGAATGAAACTTGACTGGATAGAAGCAAGCTATTCACATGTAAGAAGAGTATAATCAAAAGTTTTGGATTCCTTGGATGAGGTGCAAGATAGATAGATGATTTATACCAAATGAGTTACTTTGATGACCATCTAGCTACAATCATGGTTCGAAGACTCGGCCGAGACCGAGACGACTCGGCTGAGTCATCACCGGCCGAGACAAGACCATGACGAAACGATACCAAGATACTTGATTGCCGAGACGTCACCGTGAAGGGTTGAAACGGCCGAGTTTTACCGAGTCACTCTGAATCATCTCGAGTCAACTCGAATTTTTATTATTTTTACTAATTTTTTAATTATTTTTGTTTATCATATTTTTTACAATTTTTAGAATATTAAATATTTCAAAAATTCGCGTCTCGCCGAGACCGTGACCGATATGCTGAGACCGATGTGGAACGGTCCAGGCCGCAACCGCAACCACGACCGCGACTTTGAACCATGGCTACAATAGGTACAAGTACCAATAAAATGTCAGATGAACTCTCGATTAGAGAAGCAGATGTTACCACTAGGAGATCATCTTTGGTAGACTCCAGAGGCTCAACTATGCGCTTTTTCTCCAGAAGACCGGCCACAATGAGGAACTGACAGATACGGCCCCATTTAGAAGAATCAAAAGGATGCCTATATTTGCATAACCAAAACATAATTTTAGTACAGTGAGTCAGTGAGCAATGGTAAAGAGCAATGACAATCTGATTATAGAGTAAATCAGCAGTAACTAAAGCACGCCCATCTCGGAGGAAACAAGTACGTTATCCGCTTTAATTCTCAGTTATGGCTTTTCTGGTTAGTATGACTGGCAATTAATTTCCTACTCCATCTTTCATGATCCCATACTTTCTTTCCGACAATCAGCTGCCTCTGCATTTTTAATGAATTGGACCTAAAATATACAACTAAAAATAGTGTATAACTATCAAATTCACCCCTCTCCCCTCCCAAAATCCACCCCAACAATAGGAAAAACTGCAAGTTTGCAGCAGCGTGCCTGGAGAGAACTTACAACTTTTCTATACCGAGGAAGGCAATGTCGTATGAAGGCGAGTATATCAGAGGAACCTGTTCCAGATTCAATTTATCAAAAAAAAAAAGTTTAAATCGTAACAAAAGCATGAGAACTTTCTTATGTCAAAAATTAAGCAAATTAGCACATATAATTGGGAAATTTGTAGGACTAAGTAATTCTAGGGTTACTTTAGAAGGGGGAACGTCGAAGTAGAGCTTGCTCGACAGGATTCGGTTGCGCCGTAGAGTTTCAGCTTCGTCGTTTTTCGCTGCTGCGGTGCTCGTGGAGGAAAAGCTCCCGGCGGTGGTTGAAGACATGGTACTAGACGGGAAAGTAGAAGTGGCTAGTAAATGAGAAATTGAGAACGACCGGAAATGGAACGGTAGAAAATTCGGCAAGGCTTAATGGTTGCAGAGTGGCAAGAAAGAGAGAGGGGGGGTGAGTTGAGTCGAGTTTGACTCAGTGGAAGAAAGAACTGGAAGTGGACGAAAATGGAGTCGGCAGAAGAGAAATGGAGAGGATGACACGTGGAGTACCAAGGTGAAGGAAAGTGGCAGATGCCGTCGGATTCAAGTATATGGATCCAAAGGCCCAAATAGACAGGCAAATATTAGAATTGGGCTCCACTCAACATATGTTGAAATTGGGTGGGTCTAATATACAGGAACTTATTGGTCGGGCCAGTTTAGTTTGGAGGCCTAATAATCCAATTCAGCTCTTTAGCTGTCCGACCTTGTTCCTTCTTACGAAATAATAAAATTAATTGCATAAATCTGGGTCATAACTTTATCTGTCGCCCCACGGAACCTGCTGTCGATGATGGGCTGAACCAACATCACAATCTATTGTGTCCCCCGATGTGCGTGTGTGCTCTCTTCTTCCCGCAAGTGAACAACTGAACTCAATGATTAAGCTACCCTTAAAAATGGTGTAACAACGCTTCCCCGTGTACATAAAAAATCATTCAAAACATTTTTTTACCACCTTTTACTCTGAACCCATTACGTAATCCACACATGGTCATTTTTTAGGAAAAAAAAAAAAGGTTGGATCAAATTTGTGATTAAAAAAATGACTCGATTCATATTTATTTTTATTTCTAAAATATGATCTGACCTAGATCGTATTCATTTATTAAAAAAAAAAACGGATTTGATGCAATCCATATTCATTTTTAGCACTTAGCACTAAGAAGATAGGATCTGACCTTTTTATGTATAAAATATGACTGCATGTAGGTCACATGGTGATTTCAATCTAACATATGATAAACTTACATTGAGATCAAATTTCACGAACTTGAATTTGTAAGAGACGTGAAATTAACATTTCAAAAGTAAAGGATCGAAAAATTCATTTGATTAAATTTTGCTCTTTTTTTTTTTTTGTTAGTAAACAAAAGTTGGGATGGCTTCGGTTCTGATCACTACTATGGATTAGAACATATATTCTGATCGCTACTACGGGTCAAAACATGTATTAATAAGACTATAAATCGAATACATGGGTAAAGATTATTAGAAATAATTATCATAAAGGTTGTTTCTCAATATTATTCTTTTGCACATGTAAGTAACAGCAACTGATAGTCGTTATTACAGTTGAAAGATAGGTTATTAAGGAAAAGCTAAGGGACAAAAGATGAAGATTGTACAAGTGAAACCAGAGCAGCATGCATTATCACAAAAAAAGCGGCGTCTAACATGAACCTTAACTTGCCTAAATTATCAAATGATTTGTCATAAATGAGAGAAAATCACACTATAAGGGATGACCACGATTGATGTGCCATCACCACAACAATCTTTTGTCTTCATCTTTCTTCTGTCTACAAGCAAGAAATAGGCCGAAGGAGGCAACCGTGGCAGCCTTATCATAAATGCAGGGAATAATAGATAAAGACGACTATGGATCGGGACTGGTCGAGGAGCAACAATCTGCCATTGTCAAAGGTTGAAAGGCCTTTGTTTCTACGTGAAGTTTGCACGTCTCAAATACCACTTGGTCACCAGGATACTGATATGGTGGGACTATTTGACTTGCAACCGAGAATTAAATCATTAATTAATTGTAGCTGAGACGTAAGTGCCATGTAGGATATGATATCATAAAGGTACATGATATCCTCTCAAATTCACATGGAAATAATGGAATATGAGCCGCCTGAATGTGTTGAATAAAGTCAAGGGTATAGGTGAGGACTTGTCTAAGTTGGTTTTTACTTTGAGCATGCCTAGCTTGCTAGACAGACAATCTAAATTTGATTTTGCATGAGAGGGGTTTATTTTCTTTTTGATAAAAATAGAAGTCAATATTATTAATAAATTAGTTAAAAATTGTTTAGCATGATTTGTTTGACAAAAAAAAAATACATTAATGGTGGAAAATATACAGAATATGTCACACATCTATTTGATCTGAAAAATCATTAGATTTAACAAAACTAAAAAATAAGAAGGATTACACTGTGAATCACAAACCATTAGATTTGACCAATTACGCGAGCTGCTACATAAATATCCGTGCACGTCTAATTCTTTAGATCTACCATTCAATTGGTTCAAATTCAAAATCGATGTTAGAGATTTGATAAGAAGGTCCAAGAAATTTCGGATCTAACATATAGATTTCAAAAAATTCTTAGATCTGAGAAAAAAAAATTCTCTTGAAACTTTTGTCTCGACAAATGTGACTAATTCATCTTTTGAAAGTTAACGAAGCATTTCTCATTGCTTTTTCATCTTTTTTTTTGGTAAAAAATAAAAAAAAAACTTCATGTGATAAACTTAATATATAGAAAAGCCTCATGTAATTTCAAAACGTGCATCACGACATCTCATATTTTGAACTAAATTGTAAAGGTGACGAAATCCGTTAAAATTAACAGAGACTGACGAAATAACAAAAATGCCCTTATATAACTAAGCAAATGACAGTTCAACAAAATCATTTATTTTATTCTCTAGAGAGAGAATTAGGGGCTAAGGAGTAAAACCGGTATATTTGTTAAACATTAGGTATAAAAAAAAATTTAGGTTCGAATAAGTCATTTCCGTTAATTTTAACAGATTCTGTTGCCTTTACAATTTAGTTCAAAATATGATGTGTCGTTTTGTACGTTTTAAAATCATAGGGGGTTTTTCTGTATATTAAATTTAACACAAGAGGCTTTTTTGTTTTTTACCCTTTTTTTTTTAAGAAAAAGTTTTCTATGTGCAAACGAACCGGGGCTTGGATGGTTATGGAACAAAAATGGAGTGGAAAAGCAAATGAGAGATATTAAGGGATCTATAGTGATTCCCGAAAATATTGGACCCCCCGGTTAATTACATTACATGGTCAACTGTCGCGTGGTGTATTAGAACAATTAATTTATTATCAAGAAATAGTGCTGCACGTTACCTCATTTAATAGGCTACACAATTATATAAGGTATGACGTCAAGTAGTGTATTATAACAATTGAATTTACCTAATGTTTGAAGACTTGCAGTGCCGTTTATTCTCTTGAATTAAGGAGGGAAAAATAAGGCAGAAAATCGGCTAGCACAATTTTCACATTCCAACTTCATGAAATCATACGTACTTATTGCCTAAGAAAAACAAATATGTACTTAATCTTTTCTTGTAAGCACACTTAATTAATCTTAGTTACTGAATCACCCGGTCTTCACTAAACGACTTGTAATTAAAAGAAATTGTAATCTTGTCGTTTAGCAATATTCTCAATGGCTAGTGTACTAGTAGTGCCTTTATGCTTATGGATTAATTTTATATATACTGACAGTGTATACATGATTACCGTTAAATGCATGATAACTAATTAAAATTAAAATTTAATTAATTTAAAAATAATATATACACTGTTACCGTTAAATGCATGATAATTAATTTAAATTTAAATTTAATTAATTCAAAAATAATATATAAGATTAACTTTATGTTTATTTTGAGCGTGCGCTTTTCAAATTAATTAGGACATAACGGAGCTAATTACACGTGGTAAAAGATAGAACATAACAACTACGGCCCAACACCACCTGATTAGACAGCTTTAATAGCCGGAAATGAAGAGACAAAATGACGGAGCTAATTCAAAGGTGCAATAACGGGAAGACAGGACTACTTAAACCTATCTTATCTCGGAAACAGGTCATCGTATTGTCAATGTGCAATAAAAAAAAAGTATTGTCTTTTTCCGATTACTGAGAAACTCAGACTTTTTCGTTACTAAAGTTGACCTGCGAGAAACCTTCAAAAGCCGGCAACTTTTGAAGGCTCCCGCAGACCTTAATAAACCCAAACCCCAAACCCCCCCGAACCGATGTGGGATAGAAACCCCACAGGGGTGCCCCGCTGCTAAGAAGTAAAGACCCCCCAGACACCCACTGAAATGGAGAGATCACCTCCCCGAGGTTTCTGTCTTTTTCCGATGACTGAGAAACTCAGACTTTTTCGTTACTAAAGTTGACCTGCGAGAAACCTTCAAAAGCCGGCAACTTTTGAAGGCTCCCGCAGACCTTAATAAACCCAAACCCCAAACCCCCCCGAACCGATGTGGGACAAACTTATTGTAAAGGAGATTAAGTATAATGATTCATTTATGATGATGTAACACCAGCAGCTTTTGATCATTATTCATTGAATTTTACAAAACACCTCGACATTATCTTTATTATATTATGAATGTAACACTAACACCGCGGCTTTTTATCATTATTCATTGATGATTACTAAAATCATAATACGAAAATTTGCTGCCTTACCTGATACGAAAATTTAATGGCAAAAAATATTAAATGTATTTCGATGCCTAATTTTCCAAAAAAAAAAAAATCGTGTTAATGTTATTTAATTATCTTTTTATTTTTTTAATGATAGTTTTGTTTTTATACACAGCATAATGCAAAAAATAAGACGATATTATTCTAAAAAAATTGAAATAATTTTCAATCTAATTAGACTTGCGTGTTTTTTTTTTTTCTGTACAGGTGGTCAAAGAATCAAAGATGACAAAGGAAATTTAGAAAAAAAAATTTTGCCTCACAAATCCCAATCACCTTTTTATCTTCCCAACAACCTTTTTATCTCACATACATCACATCACAAAAGTGCTACAGTAAATATCTCAAATAAATCATCCAAATAAACTCTTATCCAAACAAACTCACTCGATGTGTACACTCGACGTGTGTTCAATAAATAGATGTATAATATTTATGGTAAGTAAATTTTATATGAATTTTTCATTGCCAAAATAATAATTAATCTCCTAAATTTCTTTCACATAATAATTGTTATATTGATAGTTATAGTGCTTAGTATTAGGTATGTTTAAGGTAAATAATTAAAGTAAAACGTGTTTTGTTCTATAAGGGTAAAATCGAAAGTTCAAAGAGCGACAAATAATGTTTACACTAAATCGCCTTTTATATATTATATAGACTAATGTTAAGGCACACCCAATGCACGTGCAGTTTAGAAATCGCCCTTTGAGGAGGGAAATGAGGATTATTCTCTGTAGAGGTATTTTGGTTA